CCCCTGGCTCCGAGGCTGCATGGCTGTGTGGAGTCCACCCTCTTCCGGCCTCCACTTTGGCCTCAGAGCTAATGGAAACCTTTTGCAAACTTCAGGAGGAGGGCTTGGAGGCCGCGGCTCGGGAGCCTTTTAGCAAGAGGCTGCGACAGGCAGACAGAGGTCCCTGTGCAGGCCAGAGCCTGACCCCTGGTGCCAGCCCCGTGAGACTCTGCTGGAGTGCAGACTTGGGTCCTGGACTGCGTGGGTGGCCATGTCTCGCAGGGTGCCCCTCCTGGGCGAAGCCCCTCCGAGGCAGCTGTTGTCGAAGCTCCCGTAGGCTGCCCTGTCTGTGGAGACCACAATGTGACTGTAAAAAGCCACTGCCTCGGTCCGGGCAGGAGGCTCGGGTTCCAGGGGTCGTTGTTATTATTATTCACTTGTTAGTTGAAGCACACAGAACGTTCCGCGATGCCCTCTGGGTCATGGGAAAGGAGCCTAGAAGTCGCCTAGATGGGACCCGGGGGCGGCCAGGGGCGGCCTGGCATAAGACAGGGCTGAGGAGGATCCGTCTCCACCCCTGACCAGCAGCTGGCCTCGCGGAGCGTAGAATGCCATCCTGAGACGCTGGTGTGGCCTCAGTGCCTGGGAGCGTTACGGAGATCCCCACATGTCGTCCTGACCGTCAACCCTCAAGGTCAGTTCCCCAGAAAAGGAAACTGAGGCACAGCGAGTCGGGCAACACGGCATGGCCTCTGCTGGGAGGAGGGAGAGCTCGGCCTCCTTGCCTTTGCCCAGCACGTGCCTGATGCATGGTTCGACCCGAGCTGGGCCCCGTCTTCCAGCTCCGGAGGGCACTGGAGGCTATGAGGGCTCGTGGGGCCTGGCGGGGCAGCAGACGGTGAGTTGGGGAAACTCTGTCTTGCTCTGCTCAGGGCTTTGGGCTCCGTCATCGGTGGGGCCGTGGGAGGCGAGGATGCACCCCCACGGCTCTGTCAGACCTGATTCGGTGTCTCCCCTGAGGACCAGCCTGGCAGGGGCAGGGGTCGGCCTGCCCACCTTACCCACCTCTGCGCCAGCGTACCGGCCTCCAGACGTGTGCCCGAGTGGGCCCACAGGGATTCCCTGCAGCCATGGGCCTGGAGCTCCTGGGCGCACCCCTCTAGCAAGAGGAGCACCAAGATGGGGCCTGAAACTCAGCCCATCCGCGTGATGGAAACTGTCTTTTCTTCATTTTCAGCTTCACCAGAAGGAAGGGAGCTCTTGAATTCAGAGCCTGACTGAAGTGGCGGGAGTGCAGCCTGCTGTCCAGAATCCTGGCTCTCGCCGCTGTGTGGCTGTAGGCCGGTCACTTCACTTCTCTGTGCTCCGGCTCCCTCTTAACGTAAAGGGAAAGTAAGGGCACAGCCTCAGGAGGGTCTCTGCGGCTGAAATGACTTGGCAGCTCCGTGGACCTGGCGCAGAGAAAGCACGAGGTCCAGCCCAGCTTTTGGCCCACCAAGCCACACTCACCCAGGCGTGAAGGCCTTCTCCAGGCAAAACCCTTCCATTTCAAGGACTCAGGAAGGAGCCGCGGAGGAAGTGGCGTGGCCCTTCCCATTCGCTGGGCCAGTCGTGAGAGCGTGGGGAGGCACAGTCCGGAGAAGTTGTTGTTTAGGATCCGAGCCCAGGGAGGG